GATGTTTATTGCAGCACTTTTCATGATTGCTAAGACATGGAACCAACCCAAATGCCCCCGTACGGCTGAATGGATTGAAAAACTGTGGCACATATACTCTATGGAATACTATTCAGCCATTAAGAACAACAAAACCCTGACTTTTGACAGAAAGTGGAAGAATATGGAAGATTTACTGCTGAGTGAAGCAAGCCAGGCTATGAAAGAGAGACACTGTATGTTCCCACTTAATATATACCAAATGTCCGCACTCTATAACTGAAACTGACAGGCTAAAGGATGTACAAATAGAAGAGGTGGATGTGAATGCCAGATGTGGGGTGTGTGGAGGAGTGGGGCCTGGGGAAGAACATTTGGAGGAGGGATACGAAGACAGCATTGTTGAGACAGGGAGGTAGTGTTGCAATATTTTGATCAACTAGACCAGGGAGAAATGTTCATATATTGAAATGATCACCTTGTAAGCTAAAAAATGTAATTGAATATATTTTAAAAAATGTAAATAAAAATTTTTTAAAAAAGATAATGGTATATAGCTTCTGTTATATTTACCATAGTACCCTGTGAGATTTAAACTAGGGCTATGCCAAATTGTTCTCAGGCAATTATACCTTCCAGACCAAATATTGCCTTCAAAAATCTCATGCCAGAAAACGGCCTATCCCCAGTTACACATTTTTCGAGTCTTCATGTTTTTCTTGAGATACTGTGAGTTTGATTTAGTTTTACATCCAGTTGACTAGATTTCACCTAATAGAAAAATAAACCCCAGAGACAGCCTGTGGGATGGTGGTAAAGGCAACTGGATCCTACATGGCTGAATGTGCAGTTCGAGTCCGCACTTGGTGGTTTGAAAAACATTGCCAGGAGTGTGTATGTGTGTGTCTAAAATCCTGAAAGGAGGGAGAAATATAGAAGGGATTGCATCTTGATCATTCCCTATGGTGTGTGTGGGGGGGTGCTTTCTTACTTTCCTTCTCTGTTTCTCTGTTTCCCTTCAACAGGAGCACATGCCCTCTGTTAAATTAAAAATGAGAAACAACAACAACAACAACAACAACAATAAAAAACAAAGAAAGAAAAAGAAAAGAAATCCCTAAAGAAGCAATTAGAACATTTTCCCTTTAGTTCCCAGGACAAAACATAATAAAATAATGCATTATATTATTTTAGTATGTAGTCATTGTTTAGCCTTTGACAGGTACTCTTAAGTGCTACATAAATTGTATAAAATATGATTTGATACTCAGGAACTTAGCTGGGAAATAAGAATAAAAACTAAAATAACTAAATAAGTGATGAAAAGTAATATACCTAATTGCTGTATTGTGTGAAACTTAATGATTAGTACAGGAATTCAAAGAAGAGAGCAATGTACACTGTAGTGGTTGCTGAAAGCTTCATGGATGTTACTGATGAGACTGAACTGGATTTGAGTTACATAAAGACAAAAGGAGGAGGTATATCAGGGGAAACTAACAGAATAAAGATACATAGATAGGAATGTGCAAGTTGTGTGAGATAATTATGCCAATAGTAATTAATTTGGGGGAGAGAGATAGATTGGGATTAGATATGGAGGGCCTGGAAATGACCCACAGTAGTTACATAAGCACACAACATGCAAGAAATAAAATATTATTGGAGGTGCACAGTATTGTAACTGACTAAGGAAATGTTTTTCTTTGATCCAGGTTGAAGAAATGGCTGTAAACCTGTGGAAATGGGCAATTACCAGGAGAGTAGCTTTGGGTATAAGTGAAGAGCAGAAAGTTAAATGTAAGTATACATTTTGTGATTTGCATTATGAGGATTATTCTACTACCCATTAGATAGTGTTCCCGCAGTTTAATGTTTTTTTTGTTTAATGTTTTTTTTTTTTTTTTTTTACCAGTTTTTAGGTAGAGATTTAATAAAAGACGACCAAACGAAATAACCCATAAGCATTGGTTTCTCAAGCAAATAGCCTTTCTCAGTTTTATGATTTTTCTGAAGTTAGCTCCTTGTTAATAAAAGTTTAAAGGCATCACTGCAATACACAGTCAGGGAGTGAACAGTAAAGATGATTAAAGAATGGGAAAATGAGAACTTGAGGAAATGTTAAAGGACATGGATTATACACATAGGGAAGAAATGATCAAAATCTTCAGGATTCTAAAGGAACTTCAAATAGTAGTTTTCCCTCTCCATTAACAATAGCATGGTGGTCACCTGCAGCTTGAGGAGCTGCACGCGGGTGTCCGGGGTCTGACAATGGCCAAGAACAAATTTAGAGGTCAGAAGTCCAGGAACGTATTTCACATAGCCAGCCAAAAAAACTTCAAGGCTAAAAACAAAGCAAAACCAGTTACTACAAATCTTAAGAAGATAAACATTGTGAATGATGAAAAAGTTAACAGAGTGAATAAAGCTTTTGTAAATATACAGAAAGAACTGGCACACTTTTCAAGAGGCCTTTCTCTTGAACCTCTACAGAAAGATCTGGTTCCTCAGTGACATCTTGAAAATGAACCTGTTAATGTTGATGAAGCTACAAGATTAATGGCTCAGTTGTAATGTAGTGATGATATATCAAAGTGCCCAAAAAGTTCAATAAATTAAACGTTTTATACAAAAACAAAAAAAAACAAAAAAACAATAGCATGGAAAGTTATTATTTCAGGTATTTAGATTTTATACAGTATAAAGAATAGTTTCTTCATCAGGTGGGCTGATAAACATTTGAATAAGTTACTGAAAAAAAAAAAAAACTACAGTTCTTTCTACCTGTGAGAATAAACAAGAATAAGAACAAAAACAACAAAACGCAAACTCATCTTCATGGATGCTTTGAATGTGGTCCATTGTCTAGCAAAGTTCTAATGCTTTTGCTAAATGGGCAAGATCCAGTGTGCTGACAGTTACTAATTTTCAACAAGGATAGTGACAGCAAATGCATTTATGGAAAGTATATTGCCCTATTATGAAGGACACATTGAGGCAGTGAATCAAAGGGTATACCTCTAGATTGCTTGGTTGTAAAGAAATGACTTTCTTTTTTTCTTTCTATTTTTTTTTTTTTTTTGGAGAGAGGTTTTTGCTATAAGGCGTGTGCACTCGCCAGAAAGACAGAGAAAGTCAGAGAGACAGAAAATGAGAAATCACCCCCAAGGGAGATGGCCACGCCACAATCCCTTCTCCTCCATTCTCCTCTCAGGATCTTGGACACGCATGCACACGTGCCCGGCATGAGTTTAAGCCACTGGATCCAGGACTCGAACCGTGGTCGACTACATGGGAGTCCAGCGACATATCCATTACACCAATTGCTGGTTCTGAGAAATGACTTAAAAAAATTATTTTATTTAACTTTATTTATTACTATTATTTTCCAGTTTGATCAGAGAGAGAGAGAGAGATAGAAAGCAAGCCTCTAGGTCCGAGACTTGAACTGTGGTCAGCCATGTGGGAGTCCAGCGCCTGTAATGACTGTGCCACCCACCTGCCCAAGAAATGACTTTTTTGTTTGTTTGTTTTTATAAATTTTTTAAAATTTAATTTATTTACATTCGTTCACTATACATTATTACAGCATACAAAATGAGATTTCCCATCCAGAATACACTGTATATTGGCTCATTTAAGCACATTAACATATGTGTTATCATCAACAAATAATTTTCCATTTCTTCTTTACTGTATATTTTGCTTTTTTTGCCATCCTTGATTCCCTATCTCTCACCCTCTGCCGTGTCCCACCCTCCTCCCACACTGTCTTTGGTATCCATGGTTGCTTTGTATGCTTTTCCACCCCTCCCCCATTTTATTGATTCGCTAATAAACTTCATTAATCTAAATATTTCCGGTAGCAATCACAGTTGATATATACATGTCCACAAACACAAGTCTGACTTTATGCGTAAACCTCAGAGAGTTGAATGAACATATTATAAAGTAGCACCTTTTTTTTTTTTTGAGAGGTTTTTGCTATAGGGCACATGCGTTCGCCAGACAGACAGAGAGAGACAGAGAGACAGAAAGTGAGAAATCACCCCCCAGGGGGGATGGCCATGCCACAGTCCCTTCTCCTCCATTCTCCTCTTGGGATCTTGGGCATGCACGCACACGCACCCAGCATGAGTTTTAAGCCACTGGGTCTGGGACGTGAACCGCGGTTGACTACGTGGGAGTCCAGCGACATAGCCATTATGCTAATTGCTGTCCCCCCCCCAATTTTTTTGAGAGGTTTAGTAGCACCTTTTTGTTAAAAAAAAAAAAAGAGAGAGATTCTTCTTTTTCTTGAGAGAGATTTTTGCTATAGGGTGTGTGCACTTGCTGGAGAGACAGAGACAGACAGAAAGAGAGAAATCACCCCCTAGGAGGTATGGCCATGCTGCAATCCCTTCTCCTCCATTCTCCTCTCAGGAATTTGGGCATGCACATACACATGCCTGGTGTGAATTTTGAGCTACCGGGTTTAGGGCTTGAATCACCGTAGGCTACATGGTAGTTCAGCAATGTAATCATTCTGTCATCCACTGGTCCCAGAAATTACTTTTATCTGTGTGCAACACGTAGAATTTACTACTAAGTATTTATCTTTTGAATATAAACAAAACTATATGACTTACACTGTATAGACAGCGTTAAGTATAGGGTAATTAGTTGCTAATATAACCGATAACATACTCATGAATCTACAGTATTAGAATGTTTAGAGAACAGTTCCATCTCTTTAATTTTCAGATGAATATTAATATCATTGCCCTCAAGAGCCGTAGATCCCTAGATCCTGTAGGGAGGGATGAATTAGAAATTTATTGTGTGGGACTAGCATATGGTGCAGTGGTTACATAGCTGGACTCTCACATAGTCAACTGTAGTTCAAGTTCTGGATCCAGTGGCTTAAAGCTCATACTGGGAACACATGCATGTGTGCCCAAAATCCTGAGAGGATAAAGAAGGAGAAGGGATTGCAGCGTGGCCATCTCCCCAGGGGGTGATTTCTCACTTTCTGTCCCTGGTGAGTGCACATGTCCTATAGCAAAAATTTCTCTCTCTAAAAAAAGAAATTTATTGTGGGAGAGAGATCAGCAGATGGCATGATAGTTATGTTGCTGGATTCCCACATGGTCGACCATGGTTCAAGTCCCAGACCCAGAGACTTGAAACTCGTGCTGGGCGTGTGTGCATGTGTGCCCAAAATCCCAAGAAGATAATGTAGGAGAAGGGATTGCAGCATAGCCATCCACCCCTAGGGGTGATTTCTTGCTTTCTGTCTGTCTCTTTGGCAAGTACATGTGCTCTATAACAAAAATCTCTCTCAAAAAAAAAAAAAAAGAAAGTGCTTTAAAAAAAAAATCTCTCCAAAAAAAAAAAAAAAAAAAGAAAGAAACTTATTGTGATAGAAACTTAATACACTTAGGCAAACTGTGCAATATACATATGTACCTATATATTGCCAGAGGGTATGTGCACTAACCAGAAAGAGACAGAGAGACAGAGAGAAAAAGAGAGGAAGGAAGCACCCTCCCCACGAGATCTGGTTACACTGTAATCCCTTCTCCTCCATTTCTCCATCCTGTTGGAATTTGGGGCATGCCCACTCACTTGCCCAGCGTGGCTTTCAAGCTGCCAGGACCAGGATTCTAATTGAGGTCAGCTGTGTGGGTTCTGGCTTTTTTGACCACTAGGCTATGGAGACAGCTTGCATTAATTCCTAACTTGTAATGTTCCGAAAGGAGCATTTCTGTAGCTGTTTTATACTCCTTGTTAAAAATGAGAAACATTGTAGATGAAGTGGGTGCTGCAGCCCTAGGACTTCTTCCAATGTACTGTCTCAATTTCTATAGCAGTTGTTAATCAATATTTGGGAGCTTTTTATTTTTATAATACTGTTTTTTGATATGTGGAGAATAGGATGTAGTACAGGAAACCCCAATTTTTTTTTTTTTTGGAGAGATTTTCACTGTAGGGCGCGTGCGCTCGCCAGACAGACAGAGAGAGACATAGAGACAGAAAGCGAGAAATCACCCCCCAGGGGGGATGGTCACGCCGCAATCCCTTCTCCTCCATTCTCCTCTCGGGATCTTGGGCACGCACGCACACGCACCCGGCGTGAGTTTTAAGCCACCGGGTCCGGGACACGAACCGCGGTCGACTACGTGGGCGTCCAGCGACATAGCCACTACGCTAACTGCTGGTTCCCAGGAAACCCCAATTTTGAAAGATTTTTTTCCAAAAATATGCTGATTGGAAGATATTTTGTTTCCTTAAAAACAAGTTCAGTGTGCCTAGATTATGCTGTGATGAATAATTACCAAGATTTATAAGCTATAATGTTCATTATGCAGCAATGTACAGAAATAGGGAAACTGGAAGTAGAGGAATGACTTGTACATTTTAGTTTTAGATCTTTTGTATTTGAGGTGATAGTTAGGTTAGAGATGTGAGACTGGAGTTTATGAGAGAGGTCAGGGATGGGTCTATAGGTTTGGCAATTACTCAAATGGAAATGAAGAATTTAGGCAGACCAATTTTAAGAACCAATGGTGTTGAGGGAAGAACAGAGTAGTGAGATTTTAACCTTAAATCTTTAATGAACGACTGAGAAGAAAAGGATAGGAGATAAAAAGGAAAAGTCAAATAATTCTAGAGGAGACTCATTACCCATTTATTCAGTTCATATTCCTTACAGGGTTGTCATGCCATGGTGGGCAGTAGATGAAGGAAAAAGTAATCTCCAGAACAAAGATGTTGGACATACATTATGTCTGAATATCTGGGAAGGAATGATTAAAGCTAAAATAAACAATACAAATAGAAAATTCATAAAAATGCCAGAGGGTATAATACTATGTTTTCGTCTATAGTCAATTCGCATATCAGGCTGTGGGCACAGGTAGAGCAGAGTTAGGCAGATTTTCAAAGGAGTCAGTTAGCAAGCATCAAACCAAGATGCTTACAATATAGAGGTCAAGAACAGTCTGGTGAGAAAACAATAATAGAGCATCAACAACAAAGTAAACACCTTTGTAATCAAGTAGCATCCTATTTCAGCCTCAGGTGCCTTTGACTTTAAGGGTTGTTGCTGATATATAAACAGCTGGATCATGAATGTGCAATGGGAGAAAAGTTCTTAGACTAAGATATTTTCCACACTAATACACTGTTTAATTCTAAACCAGAAATAGTTCAGGCCAAGAGAGGAGTTTTTCAAGAAAGATATAATCCTTGTTAAATGTTGTTGTGAAGTCAGGGAAGGTGCTCTTTGGGAGTGCAGTTTTAGTAAAGTGGCAAGAATGCAAAACAGATTGCTGGAGCTTGAGATGAATGAGTAGCAAGAAAACAGAGGTAGTAGATAGACTACTCAATTCAAGAAGTTTGGCAATGAAGGGCAGAGGACAAATGGGGTGCAAACTTTGAAGCACAGTAGTGTTAGTTGATTTTTTTTCTCCAAGGGGGTTGGAGTTGGGTATGTTTTATTCTAAGTGGGGAAGGAGTAAATTGAGAGGGAATTATAAAAGATACCTTTAGAGAGGGAAAATAATTGAGAGATCAGGGTCCTTGAGAATACTGAAGAATTAGTAAACTCTGGAAAAAAATGTTTCTTAAAAATGTCAAAATTGGAAATTAAAGTTAAAGTATATGGTTAGCAATTATTTTACTAATTTTGATGAACAAATTACATTTATTGATAATTTTACACTTCATGATGGGCAATAAAAATCTGACCATTTCAAGTACCCTGCAATTTAACCTAGGCAATTCTCTTTTTCATTGGAACATTAATTAGAAATGGTATTAGCAGAGGTAGAATGACTGCTGAGATCTAAGATAAAGGTAACTAGGTCAGCTATATGAATTTATGTTTTAGGATAAAAGAAACTATAGAAATAAAGAGGTTACAATGATACAAGCTTTCCTACTTCAGATAAACAGTTGTATAAGGAAACTATCTGGTAATTTCTAAATTATACTTCAAAAGCATTTACATCATATATAGAAAACTAAATAGAAAGTTTCACATTTTAGGAGAAATATCTAGAACTCTTTTTTAAAAATTCTCATTAACTTTATTTAGTTATTCATTTATTTTAATTTGACCAGAGAGGGATAGAGTGAGAAGGAGAGTGAAAGTGAGAAAGCAAGCCACCGGATCCAAGACTTGAACCACGGCCAGTTATGTGGGATTCCAGTGCGCCCAACCACCACGCCACCTGCCGGCCCCTGAAAAATCTAGAACTCTTGGGAACCAGCAGTTAGCGTAATGGCTATGTTGCTGGACTCCCACGTAGTCGACCGCAGTTCGCGTCCTGGACCCGGTGGCTTAAAACTCATGCCGGGTGCGTGTGCGTGCGTGCCCAAGATCCCAAGAGGAGAATGGAGGAGAAGGGACTGCGGCATGACCATCCGCCCTGGGGGGTGATTTCTCGCTTTCTGTCTCTATGTCTCTCTCTGTCTGTCTGGCGAGCGCATGTGCCCTATAGCAAAAACCTCTCAAAAAAGAAAAATCTAGAACTCTTAAAAAAATCTACTTCGTAGGTTGTGCAGCTAGGCGGCTATTTAAAAAACCTTTCCCCCTTTGAATGTCATGCTGTTATCTTTAGGGTAGAAAGCTACATGTATCCCATGGAAAAGTTTCTTTGATTGGAGAAATGATATTTTGTAAAACTTTTTTTTCAAGTAAAAATTTTATGAAACTTGGAAAAAAAAATCTAGAATTCTTAACATCCATAGATTTTGGTCAGATGCTGAGTAGCTTTAGGTTCCAATTATGCTTAAAATTATTCTTCTGTCAGCATGGTACTTAGGACAGCATCGTGTGGAATCAGGTACCATTGGGATACCTTTAGGACCCGCAGAAATTAAAATTTGAGAATTAAATATCTCTATGACTAGACTATTAAGCAAATGATTCAGTTGGTAAATTTTAAGTCACTTGATTTTGAAAACTTATTTTAAAAAAAGCCTTTCCTTTTTTTTTTTTTTGACTAAACCATGCAACAAATTCTTTTATTAGGTATGGGATTTTCAAATTACTTCCTCACTCTCTCCATATACAGGCAAAAATAAGTGTACTGTAACTTGGAAACTTGATTATTGCCTATAGAAGGGAAAATTATCCCCAAAGCATGCTTAACTATGAGGCCAATTCATCTGCTGACCCCCTAGAACATGGAGGTGAACATGATAGACAGATTGTCCCCCATCCGAGCCTTCATTCACCACTATTTGATAATCCTTCTTTAGGCCCAGATCAGCACGTTTCTTGCCAACAGTCATTAAGTGTCCAAGAAGACTTTCATCATCATCTTCTCCTTCAGAAATCTGGGATATATGTTTCTTGGGTACCATCAGAAAATGTATTGGTGCTTGAGGGGAAATGCCATGGAAAGCAAGACACTGGTCATCCTCAAAAATGATTTTGGTGATGGGGGATTTCCTTGTGGATGATCTTCCCAAAGGTCATGCCGCTACCAGGCCAGGTGACCTGAGCCTTGGTGTTCTCCTCTGTCATCTTGGCCTCTCAAAGACTTTATAATTTTTATTCTTGGGGCCAGCAAGTGGTGTGATTGTTAGGGCACTGGAGTGTCACATAGTGGACCACGGTTCAAGTCCTGGACCTGACAGTTTGCTTTCTCACTTCCCCTCTCTCTCTAACTCTCTCTGGTGAGCACACATGCCCTATAGCAAATTAAATAATAATAATAACATACAATTAAAGAAATAATTCTTAATGTTTTTTATTCTTAGCAACATAAAAATGGAATTTACTTCAATCATCTGTTTATAGGTGTATATAAAAGGAGAGTGATTGTTTTGTGTTTATGGGCGTCTAATTATTGTTTTACAGTACATCATATTGCTTGCAAGTTGATGTGTATGTATGAAGGCTCATTTGCTTCAGAAAAAGTCCTTCAAAGACAAATTTTGGTAAGTCCTAATTAACTGAGGAGAAAGTGAAGATCCAATAAGATAGTCCTTGCTCCTGTGAAAATGGTTGAAGTATAAACCTGGAAGGAACTTTAGTCCTTTACTGTTATCTATTCATGTTACTTTAATGACTAGTACTTTTACTACTGCTGGTCTCTGTGGTGCACTGGTAATGTGCTGTTCAAGAAAGGCTGCGTCCCACATGGTAACCACAGTTGGAATTCCTAGCCTGGTTAGCCTGAAACATGCTGGGCATTTCTGTAAGTGACCAGGATTCAATAGGCTGGAGGGCTGGAGGGCTGGAGGGCTGGAGGAAGGGGATCGTGGTGTGATCAGACTCTCTGGAGAATATTCTCTTGTCCAAGCTATCATTAATATAGAAGGGAAAAAAAGGAAGCTAAAAAACATGTTTTGGGGACCAGTAGTTAGCGTAATGGCTATGTCGCTGGACTCCCACGTAGTCAACCGCGGTTCACGTCCTGGACCCGGTAGCTTAAAACTCACCGGGCACGTGTGCGTGCGTGCCCAAGATCCTGAGAGGAGACTGGAGGAGAAGGGATTGCGGCGTGGCCATCCCCCTGGGGGGTGATTTCTCTCTTTCTGTCTATGTCTCTCTCTGTCGGGCCCCCCCCCCAAAGCGAAAACCCCTCCAAAAAAAAAAAAAAAAAAAAAAAAAAAAAACAAAACCAAAAAAAAACCCAAAAAACATGTTTTGGACCAGCCGGGTGGTGTGGTTGTTAAAAGGTGGCTGGATCCCACATTGCCAACTTCGTGGCTCAAGTCCTTGAACCTAGCAGCTTGAAAGATATGCTGGGTACATGTGCATGTTTACCCCAAATCCTGAGAGAAGCATGGAGAAGAGGGGATTGTGGTATGGCCAACCCCCCTCCTAGGGAGGTGTTTTCTCATTTTCTCTCTCTCTGGCAAGCACACATACCCTATAACAAATTTTTTTAAAAAAGTCTCAGTAGTACCATAGTAGTTATTACAGTGGTTCAGTGAACTAAATATTGAATGTATAAATCCAGATTTATTAATTATTTTTGCTTTTTTTTTTTTCTTTTTTTGGAGAGGTTTTTTCTTACTGGGCACATGCACTAGCCAGACAGAGAGATAAAAAGCGAGAAATCACCCCCTGGAGAGG